CGTGGAATACACGAATATTATTTATTATCCAGTAAGGAAGGAACGATCGACCGTCTCGAAACCATAAAAACATCTATAAATTATGCTTCTTAGAGATTTATAAGTGGAAGATGGGCGGTATAAAACTGCTGAAAGATTCATTGAGATATCTAGCACGGTTGTCGGTTTAAAATAAATTGAACCCCCATGGAAAAAGGATAGAGCTTGTCTTTTTAATGAAAATCGAAGAAACCGATGTCGAATTAAATGATCGATCGTTCTTACGATCATCGGAGAGTAATTAATTGTTACCAGTTGGAACTTTCAAACTTCCGTTTCAGTTTTCGAAGTGTAATTAATAAAGGAAAATAACTTTACGTTATCCTGGATTACCGATAACAGCGTTTCTTAGTACTCTCGCAAACCCTCCATGTTTCTCTTCGATAAAATAAATAACCCGCCATCTGATTCTCTTCACTTTGCAGGAATTTCATACGCGTTTATAGACTCGATAAATAAAGAATGCTTCGAGTAAAACGTCAAATAAAATATTCGAACACCGTTGTATCTGGGTGACGCAGATTTGAACGACCATTAAAAAATCGCAGCAATCTTTCGAGATAAGATTAGACTTCATTGAAGGAATTTCATTGAAGAGTTCGCGACACAAAATAAATCTCCATATAACGTCGATTACGTAGTATTTCATTGAGGAGTATTTTCGTCGTCGCCAATTTGCATATTCATTAATCGCCGCAAGAAAAATACGGTTCGATCGAATTTTCTGAATGAAACAGGATACGTCGATTACGTTCTCTTCACCGTGTCATCGTACCGGTTTAATGGCGGCGCATCATTTTCGCCTAACTCGGACACTATAACGAGAAAAGATCTTGATTGAATGTAAATAGTTCTCACATTGAATCGTGACGGTTCGAAAGGGGGCAGGAAATTGGTGCGATGTAATTTCCATGCACGCTTAACGGGAGCGAAGACGCGCCGTTTGTGTGGCTAGCAATTAGCATCTCTCACAATCAGCTCGAGCTAAATGACCCGCAGAGCTTTTGATGCGGACTTTAACAACCGCGTTCGCTAATGACTTGAGCGATCAGTGTTAGAATTTACGTATCGTATCGGTGTAAATATTAGTTTTCGAGTAACGATGAAAAACGTTTAATCGTCGTGAGGAAATATTTGCAACCCGATGATCGCTGCGGTGAATGTCGTAACTCGTAATTATTAATACTCGGGTAAATTTTATATTCCTAATGGCTTGAACACAAAATGTTGCGAAACGTTTAGTCAGCATTAAACGTTAAATAGATTATCGTAGAGCTTGTGACATGGATTGATAAAATATATAAAAACTGTTGCGTAAACAAAATCAAAGGTTAGCTGGAAGTATCACCTTCAAGGTTCGCGTTTCAGTTCTGCGACGCATTTCTGACTTCCTTTTTTATTCTACGAAGTGCATCAAGATATTAGATCTAATGTAAAGAAAGAAATTGTGTGATTAACTAAACCATTTCTAGTTATTACGAACGAGGAGATAAGAGTATCGGTGTTTTAGCAATCATATCGCGATAGGTCAAGTATGTGGACAATAAATCATTGTTTACAAAACTGCCTCGGATTATGTCATTGGTATTATTCATGTGGAAGATTTTGATCTTTTGCTGCAAGTTTTGTTTCATAAAATACTAACATTTTTGAAATCGATAATAGTAAAAATACTGTTGACAAAATCTTATTAGAAAGAAGAATAATCTTCTAATCCTCTAATTTTATAATCTTATAATCTTCATTGTAAGATTATTACAAGATTATAAAATTGCCCTGAAAGTTCCAATATCAACACGTTTAAACGAAAAATTCTTTATTTTCATATTAGCAATTTTTAAAGAATGTATAAGTAAAAATTTATGATTGTTGAAAATATTTATGCAGACGAGTTTAAACAGCCTTAACTTTTTAGTTTCAAAGAATCTTATAAAAAATTTTCCTGTTGACATTCAACTTTTTTATCTGAAACAGAAGGAATGCAACCGAATGCAAGTATTTGTTTAACATTCTCGTACATCGCAATTTACAACGATTAATTCGCTACATCATACTTTGTGTATTCATTTAAAAAATTTGTACTGTCTGACAAAATATAAAATGTACTGAGTTTATTTTTTGAACGCAAGAATGTGTGCTACGATCAATTCGGATCAATTGATTAGATCAATGGTGTGTCAACTTTGACTTACGAATAATCGATCTGCAGATAATCGATTTGTTTCTGCACGGACAGAAAGCAAATATAAAAACATTTTGTTATGTTTATAAAATGTTTATAATGTTTATAAAAACATTCGGACGAAAATATAAAGTCTACACACATCGAGAAACGAGATTTTGTAGTTTTCCTCGTCCACAGTCGAATCGTTGTATACAACGTTCTAAATCCACGTCGTATACGCAGTTGTCCGGACAAGTATTAATTATACGTTCGATCAATCAGGGAACGATTGAATGAAAGAGCGCGAATCGCGAGTGATTTTGAATCATAGCCAGAAGATAAATCGATGACGCGAATCGTGGGGAAACGATGTACATTTTCCGAGCCATTTGAGACAAACAGCGTTCCATTAATGGGACAATTTAATAAACGGTCATTTCGACAGCGAAACCACCGTGCTAGCTGAACGACGTCATCGTGTTTTGCCAAGTGGTACAAAATTGTTAATCGCGTCGAACGTGTTCCGCGAACATTCAATGTATAGATATCTCTTATCGATGTTATCCAACGTCTGTTTGAGAAGACTACCTTTTTTCGCTGTTTGACATCACTGAATCATCGTTTTCAATTGCAAATAATTCTCTTGTACTCATTCTGAGAACTTTTCCGTTAGTTCGAATACTGGGAATAACCGGAGACAGGGATGATAACAGAGTTTGCGAGGCCATGGGCAAAAGTTATTGAGAAAATAAATTATTAGAAATTATTGAGAAGAGTGTACTATATACATATTGTGCAAGTGTACTATATTAGCTTTAGTACTGGAAATACAATTACAGATTTACAATTTTTGAAATTTATGAATTTAGAGATTGGGGAACCTGAGAATTCTGAAAATTCAAGATATTCAAGTTTCTGAAGTAACAAGCTTGGTAATTTCTTATCAAAAATTTGACAGCCAGGGCCATATAGCGAGACTTGACAGTAATACTGCGTGATCCATAACAATCACACAAATTATTTTATTTTCATAAAATGTAAAAATTTCTTAGAACATATTTAGATCAGAAAAGAAGCTGTAACTCGGAGAAAGGATATTGCAATGCTTCCTAGAAATAAATTTTTCTTTTTGCTTATCAAGCATGACGTACGTCTGAAAACAAACATTACTATCTGATACTCTTCCGCTTCCACAACTTGTATAGAAAGTATACGCTTATGAAAATGAACGATGGTTGTGATAACCTTGAAGCAGTGTTCGGAAGAAAAACGAGTATTGGAGGAAAGTAGCGATGGCGGTAAACGTGGAAATTGAGCGCGAACGAGAAAGTTGACAGTCAACTACCTCGTGTAATCTAAAGATAAGATCAAGTTCAACTTGTTTCCATGAATTCGATTTAATTATTGTACACACTAGATAAAATTTTATTCTATTCGTTAGAAATGATGTCAGTCTATAAACTACATTACTCACATAATAAACCCTAACTTTGATAACTAAGGTATACCTAAAGTGTACCGAGTATCTGAATTGAAAATTATAAATAACTTCAAACGTCACATAAGGTATCTAGAAATCTCTCTAGATTTCTGCAGAATACTAACACTCATAAAAGATTCAAATGTATACTTGGTCAAGGTTTGATAATATTTGAACGTTTCGGCTACGATTGCCTTTGCCATAAACTGTCTCCATAAATTCGAATGAGAAATGTACCATTTCATTGTTTAAGACTGAAATCGCTATGCATCGTTGTTTTTCGTAAAATGGACTCCGTAATGTCTAGCTCTGACCACGAACATAATATTTCAGTGACATAATATCAACGTGTCTTGACTTAATACTGTCTGGTTCCAATTTTACGTCTTCTCGAATGCGACTTAATGTCATAAACCTGGGCATAGTGCTATATAGCTGGTATACTTTTCGAAGGTCCAAAATTATCCTAACGTTTGTGATTTAAGATCATACGTCAGTTTATATTCACAGAAGTGAATGGTAATATGTGAGACATCAACGAATTCAAAATGTTCTGCAATTTTTAATTATATTATTTTTCATACCATTGAAACTTAATGAACGATAATAATACTTCATAGGTTGTGTCTTTTGTCTCAGTAATCGTTTCCAATGAATCGAACAAGGAAGATATGACAGATATATGTACATTGTTTTGAATTGAAACCGAGGGAATATATAACTGTTTTCGCTTTCACAATTACTCGGTGCTTCAATAATGAGTATACACACTTTCAATGTTCATAACAAGTGTTAAATATTACACTTTCGATGAAAGTGGTTGGGAAAACATCATTGACGATGGCGGTCAAATATTTATTATTCCTACGGGCAAAATTCTTTGCAGTATAATGTATGAACAAGTATGAAAAGAGCTCATCAGTCAGTAAACAAAAAAAATATGTATATGCTAATATTAATATATACGTATGATTATATTATATTTTGAACATTTGCAAGCTAAAGCCAGCCAAAATAATTTCAACCCTTGTATGTATTAAATCAATCAAGAATAATGTACGCATATTTTATTCCAAACCGTAAAGTTATCTATGTATAAATAGATTTAAAAACTCCATCCAAATATTTTATCTGAGTAACTACAAGAGTCAATTTTACTCAAATACCTCACCATTTAAACCAATAACAATTGAAACCACCAATAAATCACTATTTGAGCAAATTAACTAAAACTCGTGCACGTCCCCGATACTATCCGCCAATCCGACGTCCGCAAGTTTACACAATGTCTATTAAAACCGATTAGTATGAACTCACTCTAGTTTCCAAGAAGACAGAAACGCCGGTCGTATTAGGTCCACTAAATCAATCAAGCAGAAAAAGTCACGTGCGTTCACAGCGAAGAATCGAGTATAAAAAAAAAGTACTAGAACTCGATCGGTGAATCCAGAAATAAAAATTCGCGCGCCTCGGCAATCAGGTGGAGGCTTCTAAGACGCGCGTCAAAGAAAGACTGCCCCAGTTCCATCGTATTACCGCTATTATATTCCGCGGCAGCATCCGTACGTGCGTGTACGCATGAGCTCTGAGCTTGTACGCCGCGCGTGCAAAGCTCGCGATCAGCTCCGCTTCGGTTGCGCCGAAAAAGGAACAGCGACGAGAAACCGCGCGACTATCGGACCGCGATTAATCATAAATTCGGACGTTGCGTCATGTCGCGACGGCGGCGATGTACTCGGAAGTGCAAGTAGACGGACGGATGGATGGATGGATGCGAAAGGAAGAAAAAAATAATGATGATACGGTGTTTCTCGCGTGTTATGTCGCTCGGTGAAATTGGGACTCGCGGCTCGGAACGCGGAACTGGTTATTCCCGTGTGATATCAGGATCTTTTTATGGCCAGCCACTTCGATATAAGGAACGCTTCTGCAGCTGCGACCAACATTTCGCTGGTATTTAATGATAGATTAATTTTAATTCAGATTACTCGGAATGAAGTTGATATATTTCAGAAAAACTCTGATAAGTAGACTGGGGATACTCGAGAGCGATTTACAATGTATCTACAAATGAAGTATGCTCTTCCGTTTAACTTAGGAGTTGGTTCTATTATTAGACAATAATGTATTTATATAATTAATATTCAATTGGATATCCAAATTGTTTGCTCGATGGAATCATGAATTTATGTTTTGCTAGTAATGATAGATTAAATTTAACCAAGATTGCGCTCCATCTCAGGATGAAGTTGATACAGTGTAATATGAGTTAGGAAAATTTATGATAAGTAGATTGTGGATTCGAGTGTGATATGCAGAATATATCTATGCATTAGTGAAGTATTCACTTTCGTAGAAATGAGAGGATTTATGAGTTTGTTCTATTAATATAGTGTTCCATTCAAATTGAAGATCTAAATTATTTTCTCAATGGAACAAGAATTATTTGATCTAACGTTCACAGTAACTTTTAAAATGATTATCATATTAGTCGTTTAAAATCAATATTTTACCACTACTGAAGATACATTATAAAATTATATAAATTTCTGCTAGATTCTATTCTTAACAATAAAAGTAATTTAGATATTCGAGAGACACCCTGTACATTTTAATTTCACATCCAGAACGAATTAACGTGGACAGTAAACGAAAGGCGTTAAAAAAGTAATGGACGTACGCATTAAGAACTAAACACAAGATTGTATAGTGCAGAAAGGAAGACAGCAATAACCTCTAATTACTTAACGATCGAGTATCGGTATCGCTTGTCAGCCTCGTTACTCGATTAATCATTGAATTTGGGCACCGTGTCGTGCAGCTCATTACTATGCGCGTATTTTGAAACGTAACGAGTGGTATCAAGTCGATTCGCGAGACGTTGTGATGAAGGAGCAAAAAATCATGAACACTTGGCACCGTTTCAAGTTGTACGGCAATGAATCTTTCGCGATCCCGTGATTTTGCATAACTGTCTTACGCAGTCCGCTATTATTAATCTCGCCCGTAAACCTTTAAATTTCGACAAGGTGTTCCTGCAACTTTTATCGAAACACTTAACTGCTCGTGAATCAAGTCTCCGAGTCCTGGGGTTTATCTGAAACGCTGATGGGCAACTGTGATCCGCCAGGGTGCAGTGCACTGATGTGTGGATATTTGGGAGCATGTTGGGTAGTCATTTTTTTTCGGTTGAAAATTTGGAATTTTTGTGAGAAAAATTTTTGTTAAGAGTTCATAATTTCCTAATTTGTAAAATTCTTAATTCTCAAAAGCTTCTCAATTTCTAAATCTATTTTCCAACTCTAAATTGCAAAATTCCCAAATTTGCAACTATTTCAATTTCCAAGTTAGAACAACCTCAAACTCTTAAGTTCACAGTTTAATTTCCAAATTCAGAAAATCGCAAATTGCAAAAATTGGTCTTCCAATATTCCCAAACACGGGAATCTCTCATTACACCTACATCTGCGCCCACCACACCGTTGCCCGTGAATTCATCAGCGGCACTTGATCCGGCCATCTCCGTTCCGGAAGACGATCCCAGAGGATTCCGGTGATTTATGCAAAATGCAGCATAACCGGCCGACAAACGGAATTGCACGTTGACGTTGCAACGTTCTCGATCGTTCGCGACATTAAAGCGCGAATTTTTTACGGAGCGTCAAATTGACAGGTTGAAGCGTTTTATTACTGTGATCAAGGGTGTTAAGGTAATGATCGACGCAACGGAGAAAGTCGTGGCCCGCTAAAAGGATTCGACGCGTTGCAGTTTGCTTCATGAATGCGTATCTATATTTACGGTGTGACTCACTGTAAATAACGGTGGAACTGGCACGATACTGGTGGTCGACAATTTGCTGTTCGTCAAATCGCTCGTTAATGCGGCCCGTGTCTCGCCGATAACGATCCGCCACTCTTCATTCACTGGCCGAAATAAAAGAACGTAATCGCGTGGCCGATTCACTGTCCCGGCTTTAATTCAAAGGTTCGCGCGTGCATCGGCGACAAACACGACTGACTCTTCTTTCAGGCTTGTTTCGATCGCTAATAATGACGCGTGAATCATCCTCCATTGAAGCGAATCGCGGCTGCACGCATTTTCGCGTGCGATCTCATCCATCTCGTGCCGGGCGTCAACAGTATCGGGCGTTTCCACAAAACCGAGCGTTTTCGCGTCACGAGGGGGAAGTTTTTTATACGTTTATAAAAATAATCGATACCCGGGAAGAACCGGCCAGAGGAAGCGTCTGCGAATTGTAACGGATGTTAAAAATTCACTCCCTGGAAAGAATCCGATTCGATTCCTGGCATTAAATTGGGAACGGCAACATTTGTGGCGAAGTTTGCGGTCATCGTTCGTGTTTCTCGTATGTTAATTGCGGGTGATTAGGGAACGCGAGAAATTCTGCGGTTGCGATTTCAACGAAGTTTTTACGGGACTTCGCGTTCCAAACATGGCGTAATTTATTAGGTTGCGGATTAAACACGTGACCTTCAGGTTTCTTTTCATGTTGGGTTATTTATTAGGACGGTGAAAATGGAGATGTGATATATGATACGCTGTAACTGTTGTGACGTAGTCAGAGTACGATCACTTCGGTTCATGACGAATCAGTAGTAGGAGTAACATATAACGCATGGATAATACAAAAAAGTTAGATAATTTTATAATTTCTTAATATGAAATGTTATATTAAGTTTACGTGTTGTATGACTTTTAAACTTTTTGATATTTTAATTTTTTATGACTGAAGATTGATTGAATTTTTTGAAGATCTTTAAGTATTTGAACATTTTTGAACATCTGAACATTTGAACATTTCTAAACATCTGAACATTTGAACATTTTTAAACATTTAGACATTTAATAATTTAAAAGTATAAAAACATGAATATGTAAAATGTACCTCCTTGTGAACACTTGAATAATTTATAAATAAATAATAGTAGTATTACAAAAATTTACAAAATATTTAAGCAAATATCAAATTGTAAACAAGGAAATGACAGAAGATCGTTTTGTAAAAAAGAACGAGGAAGTTAACAGGTTCGAGTTAACTCGTAGCATAATACTGGATATATTTATTAGGGTGCGAGGATTTGGTAAAATAGAAGCCGAAAAATATAGGGCAGTTAGCGGTACAGGAATAAATAAGGTGGCTATTTTTACCCACATCCAAGAAATAAAAGTGTTTCAAAACAGCTCGTGGGTCACAAACCGCTGACACGGATTGTCTGTAGCTATTTATAACCAGACAAGGAAAAAATAGAGCCGTTGACTGACGAATAGCTCTATCTTTGGTGTGAATCTGCAACGAGGCATTGCAACGATGCACTTAACGTGCATGCCAAAGGAAATGGTTGAACAAGTTGTTTTCTTTGCCAAAGTACTAATACAATGATTCTTCTCTAGTATTCTTTTTACAATCGTATTCATTTCTTTATTTAATGAAATAAACAAGCATATACCAACAGAAGATAACATTTTTCAGTGTTTCATTACAAAATTAATTTAGCAACTTTCATTAAAATAATAAAAACAGCTAAGGTTTCATAGCTCCTTTCTTTAAATAAAATCAGAAGTACATAAAACTTTGAATATGAAATAAAAAGCAATATTGCAGAGTTATGTGTTTATGTTTTTAATAAATTATTTTTAAACTGTTTTGCTACGTCAGTTTTCACCGTAGTCAACATCTGAAATAACTACACATTCACCGATTCAAATTGTCGTTAACAACGCTTCTGAAAACCATTTGTTTGAAAACCATTGAATCGGAAGTTCATTATAATACCATTATATGATTCCGAGTACGTCGGTTCTTAAATAATCAGCGCCGATACTGTGAAAACAAGCATCGATGGTTCGTTCTAAGAACGCATATTGGCCACCTACTGACGACATTCGGTGAAAAATAACGGATGAAATCATTGCTGCCGATCATCCAGATGCGAATTCCGAATCGCTCTTCCTTCCGCGCGTGGGAGAACGTCGCGAACAAACTTTAAAACCACTTTGGTGTTCGTAAACTTTCCTGTAACTTTGGCTTTCATTGTGGAGGGTACACAGAAGTTCTTCAATTTCCAAATTTTCAAATTCCCAATTTTTTATTTCCTCTTTTGCCAATTTTTCAATTTTTCAATTCTTTAATTTCCCAATTCTTCAATTTCCCAAGCTCCCAATTTTCCAAGCTCCCAATTTCCCAAGCTCCCAATTTCCCAAGCACCCAATTTCCCAATTTCCCAATTTCTCAAGCTCCCAATTTCCCAAGCTCCCAATTTTCCAATTTCCCACTTTCCCAAGCTCCCAATTTCACAAGCTCCCAATTTCCCAAGCTTCCAATCTCCTAAGCTCCCAATCTCCCAAGCTCCCAATCTCCCAATGTCCCAGTTTCCCAATCTCCCAATCTCCCAATCTCCCAATCTCCTAATCTCCCAATTTCCCAAAATTCGCAAATCCCGATATTTTCAACTTCCCCACCACAGAACCTCTGTCCTCCAAGATAAAAAGTCCCCAGAAGAGTCCCCCATCTCTGATCAACAAAAGTCTACGTCTGAAAGTAACGTATGCCACTCGCGTGCGTTCATGTGACATCTGTCAAAACCATGTCTCGAATCGGGATCCCGTCCTTCATTCCGTGAAAGGAATTGCATTTGCAACACGCGAATCAAGTAGCGTCGTTCATTTCGCTAGAAAATATCACGGAACGTGAGCAAAGAACGTTTCCCAACGGACTTACAAGTTCCTCCACTAACGGCTAATTAATTCCCCGTGCAGAGTTACAAGCAACCAGTCGGTCGTGTGGTCGTCTAGGATTTCAGAAAACAAAATTTATCACTGAAAGTT